AATAAAATTATGGAAAATTCGTGATTTCGGACATGGATGTTTATCTGGACATTGAGATGTGATGGTGTGTGTATATTTGCATATTTTTATTACTTTAGTGGCAAGAAATAGTAATCACATAATGCGACCTCAGATAAAATCAAAAGTTGAAAATTTGTTGAGTAGTGTTATTTAACCATTGATCGGAACCAATCAGGTTACGTAACTGACTAATTTACTAGTCTTGGTAAGCAATAATAACTTTTTTACTGGATACAAATTTTCTAGAAGACAATAGAAGGCTACAGTTACTATGTTACATAGATAGATAGCCTAGCAAAACATCGCACTTTGTGCGTAAGTACAAGATTGACACATTACGCAAATAAAAACTTCGCAGTTTGTTTTGTACGATTAGAAAAACGCCACTTTTAACGCCATTTGTCTTGTCAAATGTATTGTTGAGCACGAAATCTATTCGTAAAGATTTATAAGTCACATAATTACGTTGTAAGGTCACACGTATCATGATTCCCCATCGAATTTGCGAACCTTACGCAAGGCGAAAACACTTCCGCGCAAACCTTACTTTAATTAAGAATTAGCATTTGTCAAAAATATTATTGATTAGCAAATAAATTAATTCTCAATCATAACATACGGATTTAGGTGACTAAATATTTATGGCATTTTAAGTAACGTCTTGGCTGATAGTTATCGATGATAGTGATGTTGAAGTAACGAAAACGTGTTGAGACTGAAACTAAGATTGAATTTTAACATATTGTCACTTGGACCCTAGCAGGATTCTCATAAAATTTTCGATAACCGTGATTCTAGTCGCCTAAATTGTAGAGATATTATTTATTAGTTGGCCCTCTAAAGAGGAATGTTTTTCTTCAGCAATTGACGTATTCCAAAATTAAATGCTGTCATAAAATTTTTATATCTTACCTTACTATCCTTTTCGAAGGCTAATTGTATGTTATAAATAACAGGTATTTTGCCTCTGAAGAACTGTAAGCTAGTTGTGAAACCTCTAGTGCGAGGCGTCAAGTGATGTTTAAGTAGAGGCAAGTTCTTCTCTTTCGCAAAGTTTAATGATGCTTCATGCTTCTTCTTTGTATACCGGGTTCCTTCAGGTGTCATTAGGAGCTAGAATCAAATTAAGGAATAAACATTGGAACTGCTGTTTAAAAGGTTAATAAAAGGGTACAGAATACTAGGCGTACATTTTATTTCCTGAAGGTGAAGGCTAGCGGCGGTAATATTGAATTTAACATCCGCCGGTTTTCGCTAGTTATGTTATATATAACATAACAGGGGGGTGAATAGATATTGCAATTTCATACCCTATGACTTTCGACCCAGGAATTGATCTCGAGTTCCCTAACTTAATAGTCAGTTGTTTTGAAACATTCTATCCACGAGGTAGATAGGATATATTCAAGGGAAATTCCATTGCTTATGTCTTGACAAGTGCACATATACAGATAACTACGAGTTACCGTAGCCGTAGCCAAGAATAAATAATACAAACGCTGCTACGTATGTATAAATAATTAACCAGTAGAACAACTCGCGGTGGACTGTTTACTTTGCATCGTAAACTGCGACATACTCGTTTACGAAAGAAAATCTAATAGCAAGCCTGCATGATGTAAAGTTTGTCAAAAGTTACGTTTGTGCTAGTACTAGGTTACAAAAAGTAGCAAGAACATAACATAACATCGCGCCTTTTATACTCCACGGGGTAGGCAGAGGTGCACATTATGCCACTGTACAATGTAACACCCACTTTTCATGTAATAGGGGGTGAGACTATTGCTATATACCGGGCACAATTCTAGACTCTTTGCTACTACTTAGTTCTTTTTAAACCCAGTAGTATAGTTTAGCCCGAACCGGGAATCGAACCCGAGACCCCTTGCCCGGCATTCGCACTTGCGACCACTCGGCCAACGAGGCAGAACAGAGCAAAAAGTAGCAAGAACATGCTAGAAAATTAAATAGAACATTTAACGTTACTCACAGTAATTATGTAACAATAAAAAGATTACAGGCTTGATTAGGTTTATAGTTTATCAGTAAGTACACTTTTATTATTCAGGATTAACTCACCCAAACGGGATCCGGATAGTCACATAATTCTGATATCTGATGTTTTATGGTCTCCTTATCTTTTTCAAAAGACCTTTCTAGAAATACAAATTCGGAGAATTTCCACATCCAACCGATCGGAGGTAAGTATTGGATGGATTTTTTCGCATAAGCCTTACAATTCTGAAACAAAGATTTGAATTTGAATAAACAATGCGTAGTTTATTTTAAAAAAGTCGCTTTAGTTCCTAATTGGACGCAGCGTGTGAACCTAATTTACACTATTTTCATAAATGTTTATTAATATTAGATGATGAACTTGTGGAATATAATTAAGTGATCAACCTACGACTTTGTCCGCGTGATAAAAAAAAATGTAGCCTTTGTCACTTATTTCAGTCTCCAACTATGAAATCATCTCAAGGCGACAATGCTTTCACAATTTCCATAAAAGTCACGCCGAAGTCAAGACACGTTCATGAACTTCGCGTTTGAATATTTATACTAATTCAACGAAGTTGAAAAATTTGTTTGTTTGGTTGAACGTGATAATCTGTCTAATATTCACTTCATGCATCGTTTTGCATCTGATTTAACCTTTTTTATTCTTCAGGAAGATTATGAATAGTACACGTATAATCTAACATTATGAAATGAGGCGATGTGACGAAGAACAAAGAACAAAATACTCTTCTACATTATGTTGTCCAGAAGATTAAAAAAACTGAATGCACATTTGACAGAGAAGTAATAACTGTTGGAGTTGATGGTTTCTGGAGTGGAGTCTCCACCACATGGTCTAGTCTACACACTCAAGTCTCTAATATCCACGTGGAATGAAGATATAATATTCGCAAAGTTGTTGGCGGGGTCATGCATGATGATTTGAAGAGCTAAAAATCAACCTATTGGAGAAACTTTTGCCCAGTAAATAGTCGAGAATTATGTCAAATCAATCAACATCAAAAGGCAATCAGCTGATCAAATTCCAATTTTATAATCTGATGTCGCCATCCTCTTAGTGTGACTAACAAGCTATTAATAATAATATAGATTATCAAATAAATAAAACACGACGAGTATATACAAATAAAGACGATGTTTTAATAATAATTTTTAGAATAATTAACACTATTGGCTTAAAACTATTATTATGTTTCTCTTCTATTTTTAACCGACTTCAAAAACAATAAAAGAGCAGGTTCGCAGTTTCACATGTATGTATGTATGTATGATGTATGATGATGTATGTTTATTCAGTTAATCGATCTCAAGATTCGCTGAACCGATTTTGATGCGGTTTTCAAAAGCGTTTATTACACTTAGGAAAAGGTTTACTAACCTATACTCATTAACGGATTTCAAAAAAAGGGGGCGTTAAAGTCCGGTTTTTAAACGTAGTTTATAATTATTTTGTTTATTCTTATGATTAGCGTTAAATAAACGTAGCAAATGTTTCTTTATTTATGACATAAAAAGTATACTACTTTATGTATTTCAATAATAATATGTAGCTACATTGTTGTTTCTTTCCCTATTTATTTATGGTAATGTGTGCATGTAGTGTGTATTTTTACATTATCATAAAACTCATACATAATTCGTCGATCGACAAAGGTACGACACTGTTGACAAATAATAAGTCACCATGACTTTATAGGTTGTTAACTTATTAATCTTGATAAGTATTCGATGTTTACGATGTGATTTATTTTAATTAAATTCCCTACAAATTATTATTAATGTATTTAAATTAATGATCAAGCATAAAGATTAAAAATCGAGACATATTTTTCAATCAATTGTCAGAAACAATAGGCTGAGGTATAAATAATTGTTTTATACTATCTATGTTTGGATGCGACGTAGGTCGCTACCCTGAACACGCCCTTATTTCTAGACAAACCTACGGCTTAATGTCCCACTGGCGACAGATCGCATTATAGAAGTGTTTAAAAAATTACTAGGTTACTATCTATGTAATGAAGTACACAAGTACCTATAACTACTATCTTACAACTGATTGTGAAGTCTCATTATTTCAGAGTTCAGACACAATATCTTACAATGGCAGCATCGATAATATACAATATGTTTAATTTAATTCTCCATACATTTTATCAATATGGATATGAACGTTTCTTTGTTTAGAGGACCTTGCTGATCATCGAGCGATGACCGACAGCGGCCGATGCGACGCTTCACTCGTGTCGTCTTTGTGTTTAGATACTATAATAATTATAATTACAATGAAACAAGCTTTGAACCAGGATATAAATGTTTATATGAATTATTTAAATTATTGGATGGATTATTTTAGGATCGTTTCCGTCTGCGAAATATGCGTAGGTAGTAAAAAATTGAGAATTCTTAATCAGTACATAGTATTATAAAAAAAGTCGCTATCCGCAGTCTGTCTGTCCTTATGTATGCTTAGATCTTTAAAACGATGCAACGGATTTTGATGCAGTTTTTTTTAATAGATAGAGTGATTCTAAAGGAAGGTTTATACGTATAATACATGCATATTGCACCCGTGCGAAGCCGGTGCCGGTCGCTAGTATTATTATATTCTTAAATACAATTGGATTCTAGTACTTTGTACATACATTAAAAGAAAAAGATATACTATAAATATTAGAAACATTCCGTGCTATACTATGGGATCACGAAAGGTCACGATATCACTTCCAAAATAAATCATATAGGTACTGTTCTATTAACCTTGGAAACCATATAATGACATACATAACACTTGTTGCAGTTAAGTTGTGAGTTTGATGTTGTAACCAACAGGTTTGTATGACGAGGTGTTTAAAGGAGGAAGTTAAGAACGTACTAAAGTATTTTAGAATATTATGTTACTCTATCTCGGTTTATGTCTTCCATGAGATTATGAGGGTTGAGTTTAAGTATGTATTGTATTTTACATTTGGATAGTTAGATTTTTTAGGGATACACAATACGTATGTTTAGCTATAGGTAGTCTTTAATGTACAGAAAAGTGATATAAAACCTTTTAAAAAACGATAAGTATGGATGGATGGAATTTCGGGTCATTGTAGCATACTTATTTATAACTTTATAGGTAAGTACCTACTTTATTGTTATGTTTCTTATTATTTGTTATTGTGGTTTTATAAAGTAGATTCGGTGTGCCATTTAGAGAATAAGGTCGTTGCGAGATTCTTAAAAAAAATTGTGTTTAAACTGTCAAACACCAAGCGGTCACCGGTGACCGCAAACTATTGTTCTATAATTGTGTCTATAATGACGGTACTCGACGAGTTAAGTAATGCTTGATAGGCATAAAAATAGTTACATTCTGCTTTTTGGTACACATTCGCGGTTTCTATGATTCTATGGAAGGAAGACTGAAATATACATTGGTATGTGTGTGATATTCTACCAATAAGTATTATAAATGCTAAAGTTAGTATGTTTGTTTGTTAGTTAGTCGAAATTTGGAACAGAGGTAGAATATGGCATAACACATAGGACACTTGTTAACCAGGGTAAAACCGCTGGTAGAAGCTAGTGATAATTAATAAAGTAACTACCAACATAATTGACTTGATGAGGAAAATTTGGACTAGATATTACGTTAAATACGACATGGTAATTAACTACCTATACAAAATTAATTTTGGAAAACAGGATTTCGATAATTTAATTAGTCACAAGCAAGATATGTTTCCTACCTACATTTTCTGAACCAGTGAAAGAGTTGGTTTCAAATGTAGCCAATGTTATGACCTCTGTGACCTTTCAAATTACATACTCTGGAGTTGATAAGGCATGCGGACAAAACGCCATTCTCCTCTTATCAAAATCGGTTTAGTGGTAGCAACGGCGTATGCTGAACTTGATTGATTCGGTTCCGTGATGGGGAATGAGTTTCATTTGGTTGCTTCGCATATTTCGATTACGAAAATTTCTAGTAAATAGCAAAGTAAGGTCGTATACTTATTGTTGTCGCTATAGGAACAATAAATGATCACCCTTATTACGTGGAACTAATGCGTAACTAGTGAAAACTCGTGAAAAGTCTACCTTTAACTTGTGTTTCGTGGCGTAGCTTTATGATATTATTAGTTTAGAGGTAATCTAGTACTCTTACAAAGTCGAAACTAGAAGAGGTATTAGTGTTTAATCGAATTCAAAATATCGTTAATAAAATCGACAATAAATAGCGCCCGAGAAAATTAACAGTTCCTAAGTGTTAATGAATTCTGAAAGCGAACTTCGATAAAATAACTACATAGGTACCTATTTCATTACATTCATATTGCAACAGTATGACGACGGCCAGCGGTTAAAAAGTGGTTAATTAACACGCTAAAAGAGGAATGTTCATTTATTTTATATGTAAATAAGTATGCTTTGTGGAAGTAAGCTCATTATTTGTCAAGAGTTAAGGTTTTTAAATTACAAATGCTAGTTTTTCAGTGAGAGAAAAATATTCGAATATTTAGAGACCACTTAGACAAGTTCTCTAAGTATTGTCTTTTTTATGTACTATTTTACCGAGACTGATAGTTTTAAACTTTTTTACTAATGGCACAAAGTCCATTTTGACAGTAGGTATACAAAGAATGTATACTGTGTATTGGTACTTATTACTAATAAGATACTTGGTAGACTAACTACATAAATGCAGCATATTTCAAATATGTATAGTTTAAAAACATGACTTAACCCATAAATTACCAAGCGGTCACCGTTGACCGCTTTCCACTAATATTACATTACATTATAGACCTTATTTGTAATGTTTAGAGACTACTTTTGTATGACCAAATTTAGGGGGTGGATTTCAACGGGTTAAATAAAAACATAATTATAAAAATACTCACTCCCAAAACTCCTATAGTATTGCAGAAATGCCATCCCATGAGCCAATCTATTTCATAACTGTGGTTCATTATAAGG